GGTGAGACTCACCGGCCTGTAGTTCCTGGGGTCCTCCTTGCTCCCTTTCTTGTAAATGGGAGTGATGTGACTCTTTCTCCAGTCATCCGGGACCACACCTGACAGCCACGACTTCTCAAATATGATGTAGAGCGGCTCAGCAACCACCTCAGCCAGCTCCTTCAGAACCCTGGGATGCACGCCATCCGGCCCCATAGACCTGTACACATTCAGTCTCATGAGGCGGTCTTGGACCTGCTCTGTCCTCACAGCGGGGGGGGATTTACCACCCCAGTCCCCACCCAGAGGTGTAGGGATGCAGGGCTCAGGGACGGGAGAAGTACTGGAATCCTGGCCGCCAGTGAAGACCGAGGCAAAGAACTCATTCAGTACCTCAGCCTTCTCTTCGTCCGTTGAAGCCAGCTCTCCTTTTACATTTACCAAAGGAGGTACACTCGGTTTGGCCTGTCTCTTCTGGCCAATGTACCTACCCAGGGCTCATGGCTGTTGGCACTAGGAGGGACTTGGTCATTTCTACTTCCTTATGCTGCTTTAACGCTGAGGTAAGTGCACAGAGCTCCTAGGTACTTTTTACTCTGCCTGCAGCAACAGCAATTAGAACGGAAACAACCCAAACGCAGTAATCCGAAGGGAACGAGGGTGGCGGGTGGGGCCGAGAGGAGCCACTTCTAAACCCCTCGCACAGAATCAGCCAACGCAGTATTTCCCTGGCTAGTATTTATTTCACGTTATCACCTAGAGAACCCAAGCACCAAAAACAAAGCCTCACGGGGCGTTCGGCCCCCTGAAGACGAAAGACGCGCGAATCGAACGCGCCTCTGGCGGGCAGGGCCACAACCTGCGCCGTCATCCTCACACAAACACCGCCCCGCGCTGACGTCACCGAGGCTGCAGGTGACGCTGCGTCGTGACGTCAGCACGTCCCCGGGGCGGCGAGGCGGAGGGCAGGTACACAAGATGGCGGCGCCCGGCGGCCGGACCGGAGAGGGCGGTGCGGTGCGGCTGGCGTAGGGCCGGGCGGTGGGCAGGGGCTGCGGGGACTGTTGCCAGCCAGGGGCCGGCAGGTAACGAGCGGGCCTGGCGAGGGGAGGGGGGGCGGCGGCGGAGGCGTTTCACCATCCTAGGCCGGCGGGCTCCGGTTCCCTTCCTCCCGTTGAGAAGCTCCGGGCCGTGGCCCCCCCCTCGGGCTCTCCGCTCCTTCTCGCCGTGCCGGAGCTCCGCCGCCGCTCCTTCTCGCCGTCCCGCTGTGATTCAGCAGCAGCGGGGCCTGGCCGCGCCGCGCTGGCGATGCTGGCGTAGGGCGGCTCCCGGGGCAGCGGGGTCAGGCCCGGCGGTGGCTCCTCTCGGTGGCTCTCCGTAGTTCCGGCGCCTGCCCGAGTGCTTCCCCGCGGTGAATTTGCTTCCTCAGGGCTGCTGGAATTCGGGTAAAGGGTGAGTGCCCACCGGGGGAAGATAGCTTCCTCGCTGCGGT